CGGGATCGCGCTTTGGCCGTCGTATTTTGTTTATCATCGCGATTTGGAGTCACTACCTTCTTGTAAGTCGATAGTCCGGCTCGTTTTTTGGCTCGATGCACGGTTGTAGACGATACACCCAGCTTATTTGCGGCATCTCGGAGAGAGAGGTTAGGGTTTCGCTTGAAACTACCGGCAACTCTCTTTGTCGTCTCAGCGGCTTCCGGTTTTCGATTTCCCCCCGATCCAGACTTCCTGGCTGTCGACAAACGTTCCCCAAACACTTTAATTACATTTGTAACGGTTGATTTGGCAACTTTTAGCGATTTTGCCAACTTTGCGTGCGAGTAGCTCGGATTTTCGCGATGCGCTAGCAAAATTTTGATACGCTGCTCTTCTTGCTTGGACGGCATTTTGACAACTGAACAACTGACAACAACACACACACCTTCAAAATGAGGGGTGTTCAGGTTTTTTAAATGCAAAATTGAAAGAAATACGTCAAGTTGATATTGACCAAATTTTGACCGTATCACCCTTTATTAAGCACAACCCGCACTTGGTCTTTATTAATCTAGCGCAGTTTAGCACCAAACGGAATGTTATTATTACTGATGGCTTTCAAATTTATTTACCTTTCCGTATGTACCAAAAGAATTTATAAAGAGAAACCAATAGTTAAGATATTGTCAAAAATCTAACACTGCTTCTTGACGCCAAACTCGGCCTACGGATTCTAAACTCGGCCTAATGCATTCAAACGCCATTGAAACGCCAATGAATTCACTTCGGCCTATCGGATGAAGAAAAAAAGTGATTCGGTCGGAGCGCTTCTTTTGTTTTTGGGAATAATGGGTGCAAACCTTCATATCACGCGTTCTCATTGACTTCGTTCCTTAGCTTATAAACTAAAGTATCGTACTAAACGCACAATTGACTCGTTAACTCTGAAATCAAGGATTTATTTGAAGTTTTCTGCTCGATAGGCCCAAAATGGGCGATTAGGCCGAAGTAGTTCTCTACCCTACCTATTCCTAATACTTAACTTTGAAATCATTTAACTTCTCCGTCGGAGGTTATCTAGGCTAGTTCGACCACATTTCCCATGCAGATTTACTACCGTAAAGGGCCACCCACATTAGATCCGTTTGCGTTGCCTTGACGTAAATTTGACAGTTAGACAATAGATTTAGCTGTCACTTTGCCGCAACGCGTCCGATCCGGATCTAATGTGCGTGGGCCTTAACTGGAAATCCTTTTCTAACTCGTTGTTCGGTTGAATGTATATTTAGAGAGAGTTTACCTTTCCACCTCCCTTTTCTCGTTTTCTCTCTCTTTGTCTACCCTTCTTTTTTTTCACTCTCATTATCATATTTACTCACGCTCCATCTATCACCGCAAGGATACTGATTTCGAAATATCAATATTTAAGCGTAAGTCCATGTGCGGAAATCTCAAGAACGAGTGGCGATATCGTAAAATGGACACGTGCTTACTTATAGAAGCATATGTTTTATTTGAAAAAGCTCATCGTTAGCCATTTTGGATTTAAACCCCTTGCGTCACTTCTAAATGTCAACGGAAATAGCTCAACTTTTATGTGTAATATAATTAGTCCCAATAATCATTTTCCACATGGGAAAACATGTCCCTCATTCTAGTTATGTGCAGTTATTTCAATCAGCGCCTAGCCCCGTTCATGTGGGTCAAAGCGTTGAATATCAAGCCGATTTTCGTGAAACATCAGAAAATTTATATAACTTAGTGTTCACACTATCACCAACCGGGAGCAACTAACGATTTTAAATTGGCTCATTACTTGACTAGCCTATTTGTCCCAAGGAAATAGATTAGCGTACCCCATTTTAGTCAAAGTTCTAGTACTACACTATGTTTGTTTTGATTCGCTATGAAAGTTTGACAGATAAAATGAGGGGTTTGTGGATTTCCCTATGTTTCGAGGGGTGCATCGATTAGCTTGGGACCGAAGAGAGTACCAGAGCTGAGCCAAAAAGTTGAGCACGTTATTTCGGGACCTTCTAGTCTTAGAGTTACCTCTATACCTATTTTGTTTACACGTTTTTTACACGGTTTCTTTTTACATGGTGATACGTACCATGTAACCCCGCGTAAAAAAAAGACTATATGTCTAGTTCTATTTGTGAGTCATGATTTTTTACGGTTTTCAGGATGTTGAAAATTTCCTCATGTCCATAAACCCTGAATACTCGCGTAACCTTTGAAAAGAGTCTACCATTTTTAGCAAACAAAACTTGCTAGGGCCTATACGCGCGAACCGATGTACGCCCACGCAAACCAACAACATAATCGGGTAGGGGAAATTAACCCTGAAAATGGGGAGGAGGGCCTTTTCAAAACTGACCCCTCAGATGCCCTGTCGACACCTATGAAACGAACATATATAATAAATTAAATGTTCGATAATCACAATGTAAGCTGAATTGTCAGACCCAACTCATGTAATAATTTAGCAGCCTTTTGGCGTTCACTCTGATATATTGTGGTTTTATAACAGCAATAAGCATTTTTTTTGAGTTTAAATACAGAATTGAAAAGTGTAAAACATTCTTGATTAGAAGTTCAGCTTTATGATGTTTTAAAAACCTTTTAAAGCCTGACGAGAAAATCAGAAAGTGTTTGGTTTTAAAAATGAATTTAATGCAGCACTTTATTCCTTTATAAAACTGTTCAGTTAATCATTCAGTATTTGTCTGATTAATGTCACGACAATATACTCCATAAAGGAGTTTATCATTATAAAAGCAATTATAAAACCGTTCGGTTTCAAACGGGATCAAAAAGCATATATTGATGCGTTTGCTTAAATGCTTAAATATATTAACGCCTCTTTAAACTGTTCCCCTGGTAGAGGAGAATTAAGTTCATTCGAGACGGTTGATGCGTTTGGGTGTCAATGAAGTGTATCCCAAAACCTCCCACTGTTTACAAATAAAACTAAAAAGATGGATCCACCTAGAGACAGAGAAAACCATAATCGAGTGGGGCTTTCAAACGGAGAATCGCAAGGAAATGCCAAAGGATAATCGAGTAATAATTCTAGCAAAATCGGTCAACAAAGCAGCCGACTGAGAGGAGCGAGGTGAATGTGGTTTATAAATCACTGGAAGCCGTAAAATTAGACGCTTAAAATTGATGGGAATACACAGCATATTGTCAATGGCAGCCTTCTCCAGAAATAACGTTGCGATGATGATCCGAATAGCATTAGTGCCAAACTGGGACTGCGGAAAACTATCATAGCAAGGCTATCTTCGCCAGTGTTTTATGAATGTTGTAGAAGCCTTGTTTTACTTCATAAAACGTTAAATGTTACTTTGGAAAGTAATTTTTCTTAAATTTATTTTTTCCTATATCTTTGTTTAAAACGTCATTTCAACTGAAAATGGCATGATTTGTTAAAAATATGAAACTCGCAATTTTGGTCCGGCAAGAAGCAACTCTCTTCCTTCATCACAACGCCACCTTATTCAGATGGTTAAATCGATAAATATAATAAAATGTATTTTTAACAAAATTAATGCACAATAACTGCATTATCTGTACCTGAATTGATTGTAGTCGTTTTGTTTGTATCATTTTATTAACAATATCACTTTTTAGTTCATTTACATTTTGTCCGCAAAAGAACAACTCGTGAGAGGAGTAGATGGTTACTAGACTGATGCAAAATTTAAAATTTTCGCTCCACATTGCTCAAACGGTTCCAAATTGGGCCATGATTAGCCTCCCAAAATTTGAACTCATTTAGTGAGAAACTGACTTGGCACAAACCATTTGAAGTTTATATGGGAATTACTATGAAAAAACCACAATTTCGGTTCATATTTATCTCAATATTTATCAGTTCACTCTACTTTGAAAAATAATAACTAAGCTTGTTGAAAATTTTCTCAGCTACAACTTTGTTGAGGACCACTTTTCGATCAAATGTAAGGAACAAAAATTGTTGATGATTCAAGTCACTGATGTCTTATCATTATGCTCAATCAACTGTACAGCAGGCAACATTGGTGTTTATGGCGCGTAGAATAGAGGACACTATGGCTACTATGTCACACTGCAGAATACAGTGTTGCCTACAATACAGCTGCTCAATCTTGGTATAAGATTGTCAATATCTTAAACAATTAATAACTATTTTATTTGACGTATGGCTGAAAAACGATTTTGTGCAAAGTTGTAGCTGATAAAAATTCCCATAAGAATAGCAATAGAATTTGTTAACAGTACAATATGTAAAAAGGCTAGAAGACAATGAACAAAAAGTTTTGTTTTCTAATATTAATTTCCATATAAACTTCAAATGGTTTGTGCCATGTCAGTTTCTTACCGTTCGAGTACTGTGGAGCGAAAATTTCAAATTTTGCATCAGTCTATTGCTTACTCCTACGTCAGTCCCGTCTTCAAATTTATTGTTATTTGATATTTTAAGAGTAATAATCAATATATTTTCCTACCGTTGCCATAAATGATTCCGTTTGTCTGATTTTTCGTGATAATCTTTGAATTTAAATTATCTTGTATGGAAAAAGCATGCCTTTTCTACCAAAATTTAAATTATCTTCTACACCGTTTGAAAAAAAAAATCATGTAAGATTTAGTGATATATAGCGCACAAGTTGTTAACGTTAGATTTAGCATAAGTTTACACGATGTTTAATGTAAATTTAAGCGCAATTTGGCATAAACCAGCAGAGTTACATCAAATCTAGCACACAATTTCGTTGATTATGCCAAATATAGCATATAATTAAACGAGTGGAGATTTTACGAGATGATTAAAATTCAGATTTTTTCTGTGTAAAGTAGCCTCACTTATCTGCCCTCGAGAAAAACGTAAAGTTACATAGTTATTTATGTGTAGGATGAGTATTTATACCATACCTGCCTCGTTCCCCTTCGACCGTTTCCATAACTTTAAAGCGATCAAAGCAATGGCTCGAGTGCTTCATTCAAGAGGGTATCATTTTGCGACTTACCATCAGTATCAGCGAGTAGTCCGTTATCACAGCCACTATCACCAGCAGGAACAGCCCGAGACCGAATCCGGCCCGGTGCAGAGCGTATGGAATTCCTATCACTCCGCTGCCGACGATCGAGTTGATGTAGTTGAAGGACGCTTGTGGAAGTGACGAAAGGGTTTCCTCTTTGGCATTTTCGTTGTTCTGCAAACAATACAAGAGAACACGAGCTGTGTAAGTAGGTAGGTACCTGAGTGAGTGTAGATTACTACGATTTCCGATGGCGTTGTTGAGCAGTGGATGATTAATTTTTAATGAACTTAGATTATGTGTTCTGATGAGGTGTGACGAAGAGCTGAATAAAAAAAGAACAAGGGAAGTTTTTTTTATTGTTGAAGTGAGTGTGTTCAAGTTCATTATTGAGCTTCAATAGTTTGGTTGAAACTAGATCGGAATGCTAAAACGTGCCTCTCGAATTAGTAGGGCGATTTTCGCTTTCAAAATGGTCAAATCCGGAGAACGGATTTTCCACTTGTTGCAGTTCACTCAATCAGCCCGCGGGAGCGGTGATAACATAAACTCCAACAGACAATTTATGTGCTGTTTTTGGTGCTACCACTGGGACATTTATTGATTTTCAAACTCCCGTGTGTGCACTTGAGCGCTTGTTGAACAACGGTAAAACAACAATGGGCCATCAAATTGTGTGATTCTTGTTTGGTTTTCCTTCTGCCGATAGTGATAGAGAGGATGACGGTGATGCTCGATGGTATACAATCCAATCATTGGTTTTGGCAGCTGGGATTCCGAGCGGGAAAGAAGTAGAGCAAGGGGAAGGTTACAGTTTGTGCCACTGGGGATGACAAATTTGCTTTCCTCTGGTACCCGTTCCCGGAATGCGATGAGAGCCCAAGAATAATGTTTTCGATTTCCAAGATAATGGTAAGGGAAAAACAGTCGTGGATTTATAAATCCAATAACTTAAATGTGTGTCAAATGAAAAAAAAAAAAAAAAAAAAACTACAAGTGACAAGGGTGGGGTTGTACGCAATGGTGACGTAGGACTACGTGGTCTTATATAATAAATCTTATTTGTTAACTGCAACAGGAGCTTGTGTTATGTGTAGGAATAGGAATTTGAGCGGGGCTCTCTCTGTTTATACTCTTTAGTATGATGAGCTTGACATAGATGGCCCACAGCGACTCACGAAGAGCTACTGATTTCGATCAATAGCGGTGCGGCTTCTTCCTCCTTCTATGGATGCTCATCTGAGCTGCAGCTCGCTGCTTGCAGGCAGCCTTTTGTTGTGTACTAAAGAACACCCCCACTCATCACGTGGTGATTGAATAAACACCGTTTGGTGAGAACGGATTGAATTCAACTTTGAAATCTGTGTTAGGGAAATCGGTTTTCGCAGGAAATCGGTGATAATTTTATTTATCATAGCCAGGCATGGCAAATCATTTACATTCGTTTCGTGCATTCATTTACATTCATTTGCCTCTAACTTTTTTCATTAACAGAATTCCATGAAATGATGTATGCAGCTTTTGTAGGTTTTGATATTAGCTACAGCTTTTGTCGATAACTCAAATCTGTACCTCTTATGCATGATGAACCGGGGCGAACAGAACTTACCTATGTTTATCAGTAAATGTAAATTACATTCACTGAAAAATAGTAACAAGTTCTACCCGTTCTATAACCATATCAAGCGACATAACAAATCACATCTACTAGACGAAATATGATCAATGCCATGCACAACGACTTCCATAGAGCCATATGGCCTCCGTAGAACTGGTTCCGGATATTCCGGATCATGGTTCCACATGGTCAAACAATCTCTCTTAGAAACTTTAGAAACGGCTCTGAATATTCCGGATTGTTGTTCCATATGGTCAAAATTTGTTGTTTATTAATTTATTTGATAAGGCTCAATCGAATTAACTTCACGGAGCCGAGAATTCTTGTTCACTATACAATACATCTTAAAATTATAGTCAAAAGGTACAACAAAATAAACACTTTATCTTCCGCTATCCAATAAGCCTCCTCCATAAGAACGGGAGCCGATTTCAGTGGTTTCATTGTATGGCAGTATCACCAATGGGGGCAGAGTGCTTCCATTGCTGCAATGGACGCAAAACGTGGTCAGCACTCACACACGCATCACGAAACGGTTGCTTTCCAAATTCGACGACGCATCGACCGAAAGAACTGCTGATGAAGAACAATGAGGAGGACCACACAATGGTTGCTGCCGAGTAAACAGACGATCGCGTGACACACATCGAGAGTGGCCTGCTTCTGTTGACAGCCGAGTGAACTGATATGGTCGAAATGATGGTAATGGTTGGAAAGTAGAATTGGTCATGGAAACGTAGACCGGTAAGAACAAACAATTAACGTGTAGTTGGGGTAGCTCTGTAACCGGCCTCCTCAAAGCATCGGAGCTATCTCCTGTTTTAAATTTGTCCTTTATCCGGTTGTCGATTTTCTATCTCCGAGAAAGTGACTCTTGTTCACTGGGGGGGGGGGGGTGAGATCCACGTTGGCTGCCGTGCCACGTGGAGGATTCTTTTCCCCTACTCGAGGAGAAATCTTCAGCGTCCAGGGTATTTGCGGAGAAAGTAGCGGCCTTGTTGACAATAGCTGCGTGTGTGCGGAACCGGAAAGGAAGTATTCCCGCTTCGATGCAGGTTGCATTGGCAGGGGTCAACGGGAGAAGGCCGGCTGTTGAAAGTTGGAGCAAGGATTTTAATCAGCTTTTTGGTGGCTGAATAGGTGAGTTCAAGGCCGTAGAGCAGGCGATTGTCGACGATTGGCCGTGCCACGTTCAACCGAATGCTGCGGTTGTTGGATCGGTGCTGCTTAGAGATAGTCCGTACCAGGTTTAGCTTACAACGGCAGCTGAACTTGATGGCTTGAAAGTGGAGCTCAAAACAAAGCTTGCGGTCAATGAGGACGCCCAGGACTTTTAATGTTTTCCGTAGCGGGATGGCAGTGTTGTTTATATATATATCGGTGGTCCGGTTACTCGATGAAGAGAAGAGCAGACATGTCACCTGACGCTCTTCGTGGTGGATAGTTGTAATCTAGTCGTACGGGCCCATCTGACGGCAGTCTGTGCCCTCATCCGGGTGCGGGTCGGAGCTCGGCCGACGGAAACAACGAGGACGTCATCGGCGTAGACGAAAATAAATATGTTGCGTGGAAGTCGACTGAAGACTCTGTTCATAGCGATCAATGACCGATCCCTGGGGAAAACCCGTTTCCTCGCAGAAAGACCGGGACCGCGTGTCACCAATTGTGACGTGGAAAGAATGATCGGTAAGAAAGGTTTTAACGAAGTGGACTATCGAACCTTTCAATACCCAACCGACGAGTTGCTTGAGTACAAGGGGCGTCCACGTCCTGTTAAAAGCCTTCGAGATATCGAGAGAGACCATCTCAATGTGGCTGCCGTTGCTCTTGGCTTCCTAGGGGACGTCTCCAAGCGTCGCAAAGTATGTGGAAGTGCCATACCCCTGCCGGAACGCATGTTGTGGTTTGTCAAAAAGGCAAGCGTTCTCGAGGAACTTTTTTAGCCTGCGATTGACCATCCTTTCCATCACCTTGGCCATGCAGTAGATGTGTACACTGAAAATATATTTTCGTTAATTTATTCACACTCACTTCGTAAAAACTGATTTCGTTGATGAAACAAATTTTTCGTTAATAGTGCGAAACATTCGTATTCCATGTCACTAGGCTCAATACCAACATTACGCATGATTCGTACAATACAAGAACGGTATTTCGTACAGACGTATGCAATGCATACGAAAATAATTCGTGCAACAATTTGTACACCTACGAAAAATATTCGGGCATACAAGCTATTGCACGCGCGCCATTCGTGAATATTACGAAACTATTCTTTGATGTACGAACTGAATTCGTTTGTGGTACAAAATAAGAATGATAATCAGTAGAACTTGTTATTATTTGTGAGTGAGATTTTTAATATCGTTAAGAAAAGCGAATGTTTATAGATTTGTGAGAGACCATCATGTGACTGTTGAATTTCTTGGACACGATCCCCGGTATCGAGCATCATCTACATACACAGCACCTGCAGTGTAATGAAAAGCTCGCCGTCATCTCCAACAGCGGAGGGCACATCTTGGAGGATTCAAACTGGAAATTATTTTTGTTTTTGTTTTTCTGAGCGTGAACAACATGACGAACGGATGCAGTCCTCTAGGATCTACGAAATCGTAGATGGGGTGAGTAATTTATCCAACTTTTTGCGATTCCTGTTGGAACTAATTTTCTCTTCTGTTTCCCCGACGTTGCCTGAAGATCGTTTTCCAGACAAAACAAAACGTTTGTGTGATTTTCAACTACTATATGGAGTTCAATTACCCCTGCGAAAGTGCGATGGATTTTGACATGAAATGATGGCGCACTTGAAGAAGGTTCGGGTATTCTGAAGGCTACCGGCTACATCATTCTCGTAGGATGGGAAACATTATCAAATTCCTGGAACGTGCCATCGGCCAAGAAGCAAGGTATTCGGCAATGCTGGTAAAGCTAAAACCATATTTCATTTGAATTATCTTCCTAGTTGGAAATGCACTCAATGAAAACGATGAAGATATTCAATAAAGTTTTATTGATTTCCTAAAAAGACAATTTTATTTACCCACAAATGTTTCGTGTGCCTTCGCGTTCTATTTCGTACAATGTATATGTTTTGTTATGGGTATACGAATGTTTCGTACTATTTGAAATACATGAGCTATTACACACGAATAATTCGTATATGTTTTATGAAACATTCGTAACGAATGAGATAACGCTTTGTAAAATACACGAATTTTACGAATCAAACGATTTTATGAATTTAAACGAAACCAGCTTCGTAAAAAGTACGAATCTATTTCGTTGCAGATAACAACGAATGTATTCATGAAACAAACGAACGATTTCGTTATATAAACTAAATTTAATTTTCAGTGTACGATTGGAAGGTATCTGGATACCTCGCGGGATGCTACATTTGCTTTCGGGATGGGCACAACAAGGCTCCCCTTCCACCTGTCAGGGTACACCCCCCAAACAACATTGCAAGTTTTATCACGGTTTTAAAGCATGCTACAAGTCTAAATCATGGTCTTCAGAACCCTCATAAAACCCTAATTGCTACTTGGGCCCATTCAGCCAAAACTGGTTGTATAGCTCTAACAATTTGACCTTCCTGATGAATGTGGGCGTCTTGGTGGAATACCTGTGTAGAGAGAGTAGGATTAGTAATTTCCATTTAATTCCACTACTTTATTTGCTTATCCTTGACGTATTTCGTCTACAATGTGCAAACTTCTTCAGCGTCTTGTACTAATACTCGACTATCGACTATTAGTACTAGTCGAGTATTAATACAATACACTGAAAATGTCTGCAAATTGTAGACGCCTATCTGTAAAGGATAAGCAGATAAGGTAGTGGAATTAAATGGAAATTACTAATCCTTCTCTCTCTCTCTCTTAACTTTAGGGGGGGTTGGCAACCTCGTCCGGTGCGGCAGATTTGCCAGTACTTCGGCTTAGCACACAACGGAGTTCCTTCCAGGAGTAGGCCTAGTTGATACCCGTGTTGCTAGGGTCCGGTGGTACTTTGAAATAATTGGTGATGGAGGTGGAAAGGGACTGTGCGCGGCGTTTACCACTGAGGGCGTTAGCTCGACTCAAAGGTCAGATGAGAACTGCGAGTCGTTGATACTGTCAAGCATGTTCATCCAGCTGGATTGCTTTGCAATTCTCACTTTTTTGGCGGCACTGGTTGTGGAGCTTGCGGTAGTTGCCGAGGGCAGCTTTGCGATCGGGGTCATCAAGGCGAAAGCGCTTGAGCTTCCGAAGTGCCTTAGCAGCCTTTTTGGTGTCGTCGTTCCACCAGCGTAGGGCTTTGCGTCTTGAACCACTTCCGTAAAGCCTAGAATGCTATCCGGGTTGCGTTGCTCTAAAAAGGAACGAATACTGGCGTCGTATGTTGCCCTGTCGGCTTCCTCGTATCTCCAGCGGGGTCTGCAGGTAACTACAAGGACGGCGGTGGCGTGGAGCTGAAGTTGGTCGATGCCGTTGACATTCCACACGATTTTGCCGCAAAAGGTCCGACTAGCTGCTATAATGTCGATGGCAGTGGTGTGACGTCCGCTGAAATGTGGAGCCCCTGGCATCCATTCGAGGATAACCCCAGCTGGGATGGTGTCCATTCAGGTCACAGACGAAGATCCACGGTTCGGGCAGCCTGTTGAGAGCTTCGTTGATTTGTTTTTCGAGGTTAGGAATTTGGCTGCACGCAGGTAGGTACAGGCTACGGCAATGCTTGAGGGATTTTCTGTATGGCGATGATGTATGGCGTTCCCCCGTTGAAAGCCAATACCCGAAAATTTAGAAGTTTTAATTAGACGGAATTTGAATAGTGCGTACATTCTCAAATTTCACACAATTATGGGATCTTCTTAAAGTGAGCCCATGAATTTCAGGTGGGTGGGGGCGCACATTTAAAATGAGCGAGTAACCTGCTCTAAATTTACCACGAAAGCACTGGGGGTGACCAGAAGGCAGTTTAAGGAAACCATAAATCTCTTGGGGTGAAAATTCACAGGACTCCCATAATAATTCACTGGGGCAATGAACCAAGTTTGTGCCGGAATTTGACCATTTTAACTTTCGCCTAATTTTAAAAATGACTTGTTCAATATTTTTCAATAAATCATAGCACAAAAACGGCACATCTATTCAAAATTATGTCTGAAATAAATTTGTAGGAAACTAGATTGCCATCACTCTGAAAACGAAATTAACTCGTGTTCATTTGAAAGCTTATAGAAAATGCTAACCTCTCTGAAATGGATGCATTAGACTCAAAATTTACCGAAATCGAAAAACCCATTTTTAGTAAAAGCCGCTTAAAAAAACAACAAATCGATTGGAGAAAAATCTTTAACGAACGTGAAATTGTGAAAATGCGTTGACATTGCGGTTCTGTGTGTTCCTTGCCTGAACTGATTCAAGCTCTCCTCTGACGGTGACAGTCATAGATAGTTTGCAATTTCTTGTTATGGGGATCATGCATTTGAGTCATGAATTTCCCTTTTTCAAAAAAATTCAAATCGAGCACGTGCAGCTTTCGAAGAATGATCCCTTATCGAGGACACATCGAATAATAGTTCAATTTCGATGTGGCCCAGTTTTTGCATAGTGATCCACTCACATGTGTTTGCTGCAATAGAGCGCCGAAATAAAACACGACGTTGTTGGGATAACAGATGGGTCCAATGTCAATCCCATGTGTGGGTGAGCTATTCCTGTCAGTTGATTGCATTTTCGTGGAATTACTTTCCTCTGCCAAGCTCGCACGGATGGCATTCTGATTCAGGACAGGTTCGAGAAGCTCGTAACTATGAATACATAACTCACCATCACGTCAGCAGCGCCTCAGACCAGGCGATCTAATTGAACTCGTTCTATTCAATAACTGCAGATAATTGCTGCAAAAAAAAAAAATCAATTACACCCAGCTTAAATTACTACCAGTTCTGCGAACGGTTTCAACCCATCCCAACGGCCAACCATCGACATCAAATCGTTCCAACTTTAGAATGGGGCTGTTGAAGCATGATGGTGGTCGGTTGCATCGTTACGATGTCACTGTTATGTTATCACAGAGTTGCGTCGGGTCGGGAAAAATCCTAGAACGAACCAGCGTGAACGAAGATAAATTGAAAAATGTCCCGTGCAGCAATGCCTTTGTGTGATACACGACGTTTCCGCCGTGTGCACTCCGCTGATGGCGGAAAAGTATAGGCAAGATTCGTTCGCGGCGAAAAGTGCATTCAGTGCTCTACTTTTGGTGCTGCAATCAAGAGTAATTTGAATTTTCAATTCGGAATCCATCGGAATCAAGAGGAGCGTGATTTGTATTTATGAGGTTAGCATAGAGAACATTTCAAGTTCAAATCTAAACGATGACGACGGGACATCAAGGCCTCCCTGAATGTTTACCCTGTCAGAAGTGAAAACAGCAAAAGGATTCAACTGTTCCAACACCGCCGGTCAGTAATCGGGGTTGATTGAAATCAAATAAAATTAACCCTTTTCCTTTCCATCGAGCTGGGCCGTGGGTGCGGGGAGCGTTGTTTGACTGGCCGCTATGACAGCTAAACGAACCCTTGCTACGTATATGATTGTGCTACGGTGTACCCATGGAGAGAGATGAAGATAATGGGCAAGATTGTCTATGTTTACCTTCATCAGTGAGTTGATATCGTCGAAGGCGGCTGCTTCAGTCGAGTCATCGCTACCCTGGAAAGAGACGGAGAAAATAAAAGACAATAGAACAGGAAATTAGGTCAAGCTAGATGATTATCGTCTTTGATTTGTACATAACAGGCGATTAAGTATTGAATTATGTGAAATTGATGTCACAAAACAAAAAAAAATCCTTCTACAGAGCCTTTCCACGTCAAATGGCAAATCGACTGAACATGACTCTCTTCGATTTAAATGAAACTTTGCGCATATGTTGGTTGCTACCCAAGATGACATTTTCCTTCAACACTCCGAAAACGATGTCTCTGAAAAGCGTGTAACGGCAAGTTTGAAATGGCATTGCATAGCCATTTCTTGATCAATTTCAAAAATTGTGGTACCTTTAGAGTTCCTAGGGTCTGTAGATTATTTGAACGTGGAAAGATTGAAAATAGGGTCGCCTATTTTTTTTTAAAGTGAAAAGTGTCGATACACGTTTTGACGTAGAATTTACGTCTTTCTGAAACATATTGGGGGTGAAATATTTCAAAAAAACCTATATCGACCGCGTTACGAAAAGTGGTCAGGTTTTGGCCACTTAAAACTCTGTCAATAGCGGATGCATTTTAATTCTAAACAAGCCAATCGATTGGAAATATTTCTACGAATCTGCTTAAATGAACACTTTAACAGTTTTCAATAGGTTACTATCGAAAATTATACAAATGTTCAACGGTTGTAATAGTGATTAAAACTATCACCGGTTGCCTGCAAAAAGTGGTTTCCTTAACACAGTGACCGAATATTCATACCGAGCACGTAATCTTACGTCAAATCTACGGTCGTGTCTTCACGCTAACTTGCAAGTACCAATTTAATGAGTATCTTATACTCTGTTTTTGGAATCCATACTTAGTTGTCAAAAAATAGGTATTTTCAAAATTTGAAAAATGGTTACTTTTTATTCACTTTAAAAATGTCTTCTTGCAATAAAAATGGGTAAACACATTATTATTATTTTGCATTTCGGTGACATGTCGAAAAAAATAACGGATCAAGACGATACGCGAAGGACGGAAGTTTGACTGTGGTAGCAGATTCCATCTGGCCGGTGTTAATTCAGGTGAAAAAATGTTCATGCAAATAGTGCTCCGGACAGACATCTCTTTATTGCAGCAGCACGACGAAAAACAGCAAACCGAGGTGATTTTCACGAGGTAAGAGCTAGAAGTGGGATGTGTTCTATTTTCAATTCCGTTTCAGGTTAGCGTAATAAAAGTACAGGAGATTGACGTTAGCTTCTATTAGTGGAAACTGGCGAGTGAATGTCCAGTACTGAGTTTCAACAAATTTTACAAGGTAGCCGTGGAACCAGTGGAATTCCATCGAATATCAGGATGGTTTGGTAATGGAAGACGGTGACTAGGGTTGAAATTCTAACAGCCGGAACCGAGGCCAGAACAGCCCTTTCTCGCTTAAAGGGTGACAGGTTACAACCTTTAACACATGTTTGATTATATATGAGTGTTAATCATAAAACAATATAAAAGATTCTTATTTGTTTTTCTTTAATAATAGTCGACATAAAGCAATTTTGTTGATAAAATGGGTATTTTTTATTCATCCCTAGTAAGAACATGAAGGTTAAAAAGTACCCATTTTTTAAAGTATGCGTCAAATACTCATTAATGAGTAATATTGGGTTTACTCATTTAATGAGTTAAGCCACTTTTCTTCCAAATGGGTATTGTTTACCCATTAATGGGTACTTTCAAGTTAGCATGTTGGATACAACCACTTGTTTTTTTTAAAGATGTGTTTAAGGGTTTTGTTAGTGGCTTCAGATCTATAATTTAGATTAATGGGTACAAATGTTCATAATTAGCCTGAATACAGTCATGGTTCCTACATTAGGGTCCAGGAGACAACGGAACGGTCCTCCGGAAGATGCGGAACATCCGTTAAATGGTCAACCCATGAAACAGATCCTAGAGCTCAGTGTTTTTGGAAAACATTTGGAGCTGTGATATAAGAAAGAATTTGGTGTCATGACATAAATATGGTCCCGGATGGCCATGGAGCCTTCTTCCGAAAAACCCGAAACATTCGTAGAAGTGGTCCATCTATGAAACTGATCCTAGAGCTCCACAGTTTTTCGAAAACACGTGGAACTGTGATGATAGAATTGAATTGGGGTCGTGACATAAACATGAACCAAGATGGCCATGGAACCGTCCTCCGGTAGATCCGGAGCATTCTTAAACGTGGTCAATTCATCAAACCGATCCTAGAGCTCCGGGTTTTTTTAAAACACTTGGAACTGTGTTATATGAAAGAATTTGGGATTATGACATAAACATGGACCCGGATGGTCTGAGGACCATCCTCCGGAAGATCCGAAACATCCGTAAAAGTGGTCAATCGATGAAACTGATCCTAGAGCTTCAAAGTTTTTTTCGAAAACATGTGGAACGTGAACGTGAAGAAATAGTTTGTGGGCATGACATAAACATGGAGCCGGATGGATATGGGACCGGCACCCGGAAGATTCGGTGCATCCGTAAAAGTGGTTCATCCATGAAACTGATCTTAGAGCTCCTTGGGGTTTTTCGAAAACACTTGGAGCTGTGATATAAGATAGAATTTAGGATAGTGACATAGTCCTACAAAAGACCCGGAATATCCGTAAAATGGTCAATCCATGAAACTGATCCTAGAGCTCAGCGTTTTTTTTATTTAAACACTTGGAACTGTGATATAAGAATGAATTTGGGGTCGTGACACAAACATGGATCCGGATGGTTATGGGACCGTTCTTCGGGAGATCCGGAACATCAATAAGAGTGCTAATTCCATGAAACTGATACTAGAGCTCCGTGTTTTTTTTAATCGTCTTCTGAAATGTTTACATTTTTCCCTCTACCAACATATACGTGAGAGTTAAGTGGACCCTACACGATTACTTTTATTGACAATAATCGTATTGTCAATACATTCTATATTGACGTCAATATATCGAGATTGACAATATTTCTGAATTCACATCATCAATATTATTGTCAATAATTCCCCTTCGCGTCAATATATTGATGCGTGTGGGGTTTGCTTTAGATCTCCACACAACCAGGTTGCACGAATACAACTGTATTGCTAAATGTGCACGGACACACACACGAAGTTAAAACAACCGGTGGACAATAACGATTTTCAATTGACTGACACTGGACTAGCCTATCGGTCCCAAGTACATCGATGAACGTAAACGTATCCCATTCTAGTCGAAATTCTAGTAAAGATAGCTGGTACAATTCAAGATTTTTGGCTAAGCTTCAGCCATATTGAAATCTTCAGCTGATGCTGAACACTTTGTTTACAAAAATGTCGAGGAATTTCGTACAAACAAGATCGTTGATTGGCTGCTTTCCATTAGAGTGATGCAAAATTTGAAATTTTCGCTCCACAATACTTAAACGATTCCAAATCGGATCCTGACTAACCTCTCAAAATATGAACCCATTTGCGGAGAAACTGAGATGACACAAACCATTTAAAGTTTGTTTGGGAATTACTATGGTAAAACCAAGATTTTTGTTCATGTCTATCTAATAATTCACCATATCGGTCTGCTTTCAATGTTCTTGTAAAAAAAAAGCTTTCATATGTTCTTGTAGAAAATTTTCCCAGCTACAACTTTGCTCATTACCACTTTTTGATTAAATGCAAGGATCGAAAGTTATCAATGGTTCAATGCGCTGATGTCTTATGATCATGCTCAATCAACTGCTCAGCAGGCAACATTGGTGTTTCTGGGGCGTTGAATACAGGGGACTGGCAATCCCATATCAATCCTATACGGTTGACAGTAGGCAAGATCACGGGCCTTATTTAAATACGGCCCGCCTGAAGTATACATGAAGGAAAGGGACGCAAAATCGTGTTGTAAGCAGAAAGACAAGAGCACATGAAAGCATCAAAAACATGGCCGTCAGCCAGGCCCCTGGTTGAATAGGACACAAAAATCACGGCTACTATGTCTCACTGCAAAATACAGTGTTGCCTACAGAGCAGCTGCTTAATCATGTCATAAGTTTACCAATCTCTTAAATAATTAATAACTTTTTCCAGTCTCGTTTTACATAGAAACAAAAGCAAAGTTGTAGCTGAGAAAATTTTCTATAAGACTGGGTATCGAACTGTTTCGCAGCTTAATATGGAAAAAGACTAGAAGGCAATGAACAAAAAGTTGAGATTTCCCATATTAATTTACATGTAAACTTCAAATGGCTTGTGCGAAGTCTGTTTCTAACCAAATGAGTTGTAACTTTGGGAGGTTAATCAGGACCCGATTTGAAACCATTTAAGCACTGTGGAGCGAAAAAGTCAAATTTTGCATCAGTCTAATGTCCATAGCCGTCCGGGCCATGTTTATGTCACGACCTCAAATTCATTCTATCATCATAGTTCCTAGTGTTTTTTTTTAAAAACTGCTGAGCTCAAGGATCAGTTTCATGAATTGATCACTTTTACGAATGTTCCGAATCTTCCAGAGGATGGTCCTATGGCCATCCAGGTCCATGTTTATGTCTATCTTATATCACAGTTCCTAATATTTTCGAAAAAAAACATCGGTTTCTACACACTTAGAAAAATTCATGTAAATTTAGATGCTCTGAGACTGACATCTAGGGTAACATTTGAAATGGGCCTATGTCCAAAACGTAAACAAATCGGGTTTTGATACCATTCTTTAGAACCGCTTGATAGTTAATAATCGTGTAGGAAAGTTCCGCATAATCGAGAAAAATCATTTAAAATAACTCGATTTTCGAAACGGCCGATAAACGAAATTTTTCGATTCACGCCGCACGCTAAAACGGCCAACCATTCATTTATTTGATATCATTGTTAAGCCTCGTGACGTAGAAGGGCCGATGATTGAAAATTTTCAAACCAAAGCTAGGCCCTACTGCTTGAGGCAGGGCTGATGATTTGTTTTGAATTTATTTGACGTTGCGAAAAGGCTTAGCAAAGGGTGTACCATTTCTGATGACAAA